AAAATTGGTTATGTTTAGAAAGCCCTATATTCCATGCTATGCTCGTCGTAAAATATATTCGTGTATGCAAGAAACAACTCCAATATTTCTCTCACTCTGGAACACATCACACTAAATGTGCTAATTCAATTGCCCGACACCCTAGTTGTGGCACAATCAGGTGGAAGAGCCGGCGCCGTTGCCGTCCATGTAGTACCGACTCCAGCCCAGGACACGCGGCCGAGTCTTGGTAACGGAGACGGCGGGAAGGGGCTCACAGGTTGACGAAAGGTCACTACGGGTGAAAGGCTTTTCCCGAAATCCCCGTGTTTTGCCCATTTGTGTAGTGAAGCATCAATTTTTCTTCGCTGCATGTCTGCTTTCTGCCTTCCTGAACTAAAACGGAAGCCAGGAACCGTGAGGAGATGAAATGTCCATGTCTTTCGAAGTCAATAAAGTGAAAAAACTACCACTAGTGCTGTGTATTCATTTACAACAATCCATTTGGTTCCTTTTAAACTAAAAACAGTCAAAGGCGCTGCGGGATTTCGAGAATTTCTGCAGAGATATTGGCACGTGGTCATGTGGATTAAAGACCAGCGTAGATCCGAACAGGGCCCAAATTTGTATCAGTATCGCCAGCGCATGCCCGCGTAAGACCGCTCAGGAGCGTGCTCACTCGCTGTCTTCCGGAGCAAAAACCCTGACGGCGGCGTTGCAGTCCCCAGAGCGAAGCACCGAAGCCAGCGGACTACTAGTGGGCGGGCGACAATGATCGCGCATCGAAAAGCAATACTTTCGTATGTTTTATGCGATCGATTGTTGCGTGTTGTTGTTATGCCCGGGCCGTGGACTTAACACATACAATTTCCAGAAGGATATACAGCACCGATTAGCATTGACTGCACAGCGAACTCTTGACCGAATGATAGAATATCTATTGTTCGTGTTGTTATAACTGCTATCGGTTTAGAGGATCAGCCTCACAAATGCATAGTGAAATATTTTCTGTCGTCTAACTTTCGAACAGTATGACTTGCCCTTGAAATACTTTCTTTAGTCGTTTTTCACGACACATGGTCATTGGCGCGTTCCCGCCGCAGCTGCCGCCTGGCGTCAGCTGCGGCGGCCACCACCGCTCGGTTGAGGTAGGCCCGGGGTGATGAGCAGTGGCATTTTTGTTGTTATGTCGTAGGATGCACAGCATCGCCGGAAATATTGCACAGCATAGAATGTTTTTTATCAGAGCAATACTTGCGTTCATTGTTAAAAAATCAATTGGCCGACCAGTCCTGAAATAATTCTGACTAGCATTCGCTAGCCAGAATTATTTCAGGTGCTTTGTTGAACAGTGTCATTCACAAGATCTCGGATGTGTAGAAGCCCTTCAGCCTTTGGTTCACAACATGTGACGACGCTGGTCGGTACTCACAATGCTTTGAGAGATATCAACTACAGTACCCAACCTTGCTCATTGTAAATCCGTAAGTCTGTTTGGCCTTTACATTCTTTAGCAAAAATACAATTACTGACATGGCCAGCATAAATCTTTACCAACAATAGGTGTTTTTGGCCCTGAAGATGCTGACCTAGTGGAACCAGGAGTATATTTACAATTTCGTTTTGCTTATCGAATCTGTAAGAGGATGGTCTTCCTAAGATAAGTATAAAATGGACATATCAGGGGTTCGGAAAAGTGAAACTTTTTCGTAATGCTTAAGACATCAGATCGCAACCCCTGGCGTAACGTTTCGTTGATTTTGCATGATGATGCCATCATACTCTTACACCTTTTTGCTTAGATGGCATTTCAAGTGCTGAGATTATTTGTTGCCTTCGCGTTTTGACCAAATGGGTATTGCAAACATTACTTACCCAACACACATGTTGGGAAAAGCAAAACAAAATGAGAGCATCACTCTCATGGTGGTGAGCAGGGTGTCCGATCACATTTCTCTTTTCAGAGCGGCTACTTCACATCTGATTTTTGAGCTATTCAGGAGGATTCTAAGACACTGATGTTGCCGTTTGAATCGGATACATATGAGCAAAGGTTTGAGCAAAAGGTACAAAAATATGAAACATTGTCCTCAAAATGAATGTTCCCCATTTGTAAGGGATTTTGAACCGAGACAGACAACAAAACGAGAGCATCACTCTCATACTGGTGACCAGGATGCCCGATCACATTTCTCTTTTCAGAGCGGCTACTTCACATATAATTTTTGAGCTATTCAGGAGGATTCTAGGAATCTGATGTTGCCGTTTGAATCGGATACATATGAGCAAAGTTTTTAGCAAAAGGTACAAAAAGAAGGAATATTGTCCTTAAAATAAATGTTCCACATTTGTAAGGGATTTTGAACAGAGACAGCCATTTTGAAGATCATTCAGTGCAGTTCACCGCCCCGCTCTTTTAAAGACCCTCTAGTTTCCGGGCTAGACACTCGCGAACCTGTGCAGAATATTTCGTGCAGACTATTCCAGAGTTGGCCAGGCATGCGTGACGCCAAAAAAACGTCACTCAGACACAGCCACCTCATTGGTCATGTGGTAATCAAAGCCAACGCAAGTATGACGATCACGTTATTCGTGTCTGGCGTACATCAGCACGATTTCTAGCGCCAACGGACTTCAGTTGGTTCTCAACCAATCTTATGCGTTCAGTGCCAGTTTCGAGCGTGATTTGACTATTTGTTTTTTTTTGGAGTAGAGCGATTTCGGCCAAAAATGACAATTTCGGGACCATGGGATGAAGGAGCATGAGTACCGGCAGAGCAGGACTACATGCACTTGGCCACCTAACCGCCGGGAGTACGCCCGCACAGGGGCCCCTCTAACGAGTATGTGTCTGGCACCCTGGCGGGGGCCCAGCAAGGGCACCTCGGCCCACTCGTGGCTGGCACATGCAGCCGACCCTGATTAGGCCGGGCGTCGCCAGTATGCAGTATGAAGCAATAAAGATAATGAAAGGAGCGGATTTCGAACACGAATCACATTTGTGCTAGATAATATAAGAGCTTGGACAGTTGTAATAAATATGATGGGAATCAAATGACGAAATCAAATATCTTAAGAATAGTGTCATAATAGAGCATGTGAATGCAGGCAAACAATATGAAACCACGGACTGATATACAAGACCACCACGAGAAACAGCCAAAAGACGCGCACATAACGACATTCGGGATACAACGTACCATTAGCACACCTCTCCAGAATTTGAATTGCTGCAAGTATATCAGGCTTTTTCGCCCCTCTGACGTCATGCAAACGTTCGATGACACAATCAAACGGTAACGTATTGAGGACCACGTTTACTAAACAGTGAAATCTTGCTGTCTAGGGTAGCCTTTTGCACGTAATACCAATGCCTACGAGTAAGCGTCTTTAATTGTCTGTGATGTTTATCTCAATATCTTTAAAAAATGAAACGTTCCCTTCAAGGGCGAGATAATTGCGGAGAATTAAGTTACGGACTTATTTAAAAAAGTAGTCGTGGAGTTGGATGTTATCTCCGAAAAATAAGCTTACGTCAGTAAAAATCAGAAGAATTTGTGACCGATCCAGCGTTATAACAGTTCTCAGAAGCAGCTCAACCCTTTGTAGAACAATGATCCAACCGCCGACACGCAACCAGCATGCGAAAACCGCGTGCATGGCATCATACGGTTGTGGTAGGCCTTACAAATGACAAACAAGGCGTCCTACGCCGGATAAACTGGAGAGCTCAAAAGGGCAACCACCCGGAATGAGAATCCCGGTTAAAAATTCGCAGTTTGGTGTGGCAGAGCATGCGCGATTAGAAGGTGACCATTGACCAGCATAGGATGGGACAACCATGATCGCAAATAAGTGTAAACACAGACAAATTGGGAGTAGACATGCAAAAAGCAGATTACGAGCGTGCGGTGCTGCTTTATGCCATGCAATAAAATTTCGCGAGCCTGCAGAGTGTCTGAACCGGTTTTTCAGTGAAAAACGTCGAGTTGTCCCCACTCTTACCCACCGCAAAATCTGGCGTACGTCCCTGCCGAACACCATCGGTCCCTCCCATTGTTCAATGTAGCAAATCGGGCCTATATGCTATCAGACAACTGCCTGAGAATTATTGGGCCGCAACGTTATGTACATGCCACTAGACGAAGCGCGGTAGTTCAATCATTCAATCCATCCGTAGTAGTGATTATATCTGGCCTCAATCATTCCGTAAAGCCGTTCTCAGACATGTTTTCTTACATCGTAGATTTCATTCTTACGATTTGCCACGCCCGTTTTGCCGCGTGAAGTTTCCTGTAAAGGACAAATGCATCCATACACTCTTTGACGTACAAGCTTCCACGTAGATCATTTTGTCGGCGCGATGCGCGCGTGGAACATAATTTCTAACTGAAACATGTTCTGTCCCGGCAGATGGCAGCAATGCCTATGGCGAACGCTACCACGGCAGCGCGACGTGTGGTGGTCACTGGCATAGGGCTGGTCACACCGCTGGGGTGCGGCACGAACATCACATGGAACAGGTAGGCTCAGAAAAAGCGTTCACGTTGATCATGTGCTGCCCGATTGGGAAGCTTGGTGTGAACGGGCTGTTCTGTGAGATTGAGCATTGTTATCAGTGTGCATCCATCTTGATGGCTTGCGATAAAGCCAAACATCCGTGGCTTGCGAAGCGTTGTTTTATAAGGGTGCCTGGTGTTTAAGTGATCACGTGCTCACGATCGCCTAGCCACCGGCCATTAGGCAGCTGCCTCGCCCAGCCTCAGTAGGGCGGCCTCTGGTGGCGGCGGATGGCCCGGCTGACCGGCCGGCGGCGTCGCCGGCAGGCTGCTGCGCGGAGAGGTCGGCACGGTGCCGGTGAGCGGGCCCGAGTACGAGCAGTCGCGCTCACGGGTGGCGGCGCTCGTCCCGCGCGGCGCCGGGCCGGGCCGGCTTGACATGGCGGCGCGCTTCACCGAGGCCGAGCGGCGCGTCATGTCACCGGCCGTGCGGTACGCCCTGCTGGCCGCCCAGGAGGCCGTGCAGCAGGCCGGCTGGGCGCCCGCCACCGAGCACCAGCAGGTCAGTCGGCAGCCACTGCTGGCCGCGCCCTGGCAGCCGACAGGCGCTGCTGCGCTGCCAGGAGCACAAGCAAAGAGCACCCGCCGACGGGTGGAAGTGAATGTTCACGGCTGAGATTAAGTGGTCTGTGGCACCAGCAGACAGCACCAGTGCACGAGTAGATATTAATGTTCGCGACTGGGGCTCTATGATCTGTACCAACGCCCGCGTAACAAAATTATCAAGTCGAACTACTTCAGATACCACATCACCACATTACAATGAAGTATGGTAATACGTAGGCCGCTGTTGCGTACTGACTTGATTCGACGACAATCGACGATCACCATGATACTATCATGCTAGAGCGTCTCAGGGGAAGGCAAGGACGCCGAGTGAAGAGGCCCATGTCCCATATAGATATGTCAGATGCATATTGAGCTGATCAATCCACATCATCATGTCGTATAGGGTGTAGGTGTAGAGCGTTCAGATCGGGTCCCAGGATGCGGCTGCATAATAACGTAGTCCGACCCGCATATTTAGAGTTACTCAGCACCTTCGCTGGCTCGCGATCAAGACACGCTCCGCCACTCCCATCTACCGTTCGCCCCCGCTGGCTTGGCGGGGGGGGGGGGGGGGCGGGGCAACGGTACCTCCACTGTCTGCCGCCGCTCGCCTGGCCAGCATCTGCACCACTGGCAACTGCTCACCTGGTCAGTACTTCCACCGCCCGCCCCTTGCTTGCCCGGCCAGTACCTCCACCGTTCGCACCGCTCTCCTGGTCAGCATCCCCAGTGGGGGAAGAACTGGCCAACAACGGACACCTGGACGGACACCACGCCTCTTCTTTTTAAATACGCCTGATCAGCAAAACTCAGGCAGACACCGGTCCATGGTAGGCCATTTCCCAGCCTCTCTTGAATTTACTTATGTCAAAACCAAAACAGATAAGGATAAGTCAAACGGTGTACTCAAAACGCTTATTGTAAAAGTCGTAGCGCTTTGTTCATAATGTGCGATTTGTGTCTCACTGTAAGAAACAGGGTTCATAGTTGCCATAAAAGTGTTCCACGGAAAAGGTCTACAGATCTGGATGAAATATAACTATTTTGTCTATGATGCCGTGTTGGTGATGGCGTAGCTCACTACCCAGACTGCCTAGCATACCACTGAGTGGCCTTAAAACGTTGACAAGTCAAGGTCTTACGACAAGCCAGCCGACTTCGAGTAGGACTCATCGCGCGACTTCATGCATCCAAACAACAAGGTGAAGAACTGGTCTGTCCATGAGCAATGGACCAAACGCCTGTAGCTCCTCAGTGTTGCCTGCAGGAACTGTGTGTACCGCGTCCGCCTCCACTCACTGCTGGCGTCTCGCCGTGCCTGCAGGAGCGAACCGGCGTGGTGGTCGGCGTCAACATGACGGACACGCTGGAGATCCTGGCCACGTCCGAGCAGTACCAGGCGGCCGGCGCCAGCGGCATCGGTCGCCACTTTATCCCGCGCATTTCGCTCAACATCGCCGCTGGCCAGCTCAGCATGCGCTACAACTGCCGCGGCCCCGTGCACACCTGCTCCAATGCCTGCGCCACCGGCAGCCACGCCGTCGGCGACGCCTTCCGCTTCATCCGAGACGGCTACGCGGACGCCATGTTGGCCGGCGCCACTGACGCCAACGTGTTCCCCATGGCGATGGCCGGCTTCTCCCGGCTGGGCGCGCTCAGTACCAGCTACAACGGGCAGCCAGCGCGCGCATCGCGGCCGTTCGACGCGGCGCGCGACGGCTTCGTGCTGGGCGAGGGCGCCGCCGTGCTGGTGCTGGAATCTCTGGAGCACGCACGCGCGCGCGGCGCCAGCATCGTGGCCGAGGTGCTCGGTTTCGGGCTCTGCTCGGATGCCTTCCACGCCACGGCGCCGCGGCCGGACGGCGACGGCGCGCGGCGCGCCATGGCGCTGGTCCTGCGCGACGCCGGCGTGCCGCGCGACGAGGTCACGCACGTCAACGCGCACGCTACCGCCACGCCGATCGGCGACGGCATCGAGGCACGCGTGCTGCGCGACAGCATGCCGCACGCGCCGGCGGTGTCGGCCATCAAGGGCGCACTGGGCCACATGATGGCCGCGTCCGGCGCCGTGGAGGCGGCCATCACGGCTCTGAGTTGTCTGCACGGCCGCGTGCCGCCCATCGCCAACCTGACGCGGCCCGACGTGGACGGCGTCGACTACGTGCGCGAGGAGGCGCGCGTCTGGCGCGTTGACGGCGGCCGCCGCGTCGCTCTCTCCAACTCATTCGGCTTCGGCTGCGTGAACGCCGCGCTGTGCATGGCTGAGTTTGTGGACTGAAGGCGAGCAGGGGCGAGAGAGGGCCGGACTGCGCCGTTGTCGCCGCAGCATGCTCTTGACCCCGCGCTGGTCGGCGTGGGCCGTCTGCGCCAGCAGCACGTGCGCGCGTGCGTGCTCTTGTTTATTCTCGTGGGCTGATCGTCTAACATGTTATTGCTTTGAGGTATTTTGTGAACAGAACGTGCGCTTTGCTGTCTATGGAGTCTAGTATTTATGGATGGTGCGTATGTTTGTCCTGTGCTTGTCGTAAATGAGCTTATCGCCGTTGTAATCGTTTTCATAGTAGTTATCATTGACACGACGTTACTCGACGGTGACTACAGCATGTTATTCATCCGATGAAATAAATATGTTTTGATAGCAAAGCACTTTGTTGTTTTACAACGGGCATATGCCTCATGTTAAAGCTCAAAGACATCGGGTTCGGAGCCTGACAAGCTCGCGGTGCAGCCAGTGGGGTTTCAAGCACGGGCATTGACGTGATGCATGTTTACGCTAAGCAGCCGGTATGGATCCTGTCCCATTCGTACCCGGTGTGGAGTTGTAATCTATGAAGCTTCAGGGTTTCGGTTGAAATGAAACAATGAATTGCGCAGAAGAAAAACTGGTCAGTGATTAGGTGAGTCCTCATTCACTTTCTTTCCAACCCACGAAGTTCAGTGCTGGTCACAACTCGCACGCTGGATTCAAACTAGGGCAACTTTGCCATCCAATCAGTCAGCTCGACTTGATACCGGAACGTACGAGATATGTTTGAAGATTTAAGGTAGGTATGCCATCGGTTTTGTTACGTCGGAATAGTTAAGTCAACTATTAGTTATAATATTTATTTATAATAATTATTAGTTATAATATTTATATAAGCAATTATATAATATATGTAATTAATAGTTAAGTTATATCGTTGTATTGGGAATGGCTCTATTTGATATCTGTTAGGGCTGTCATCCATTTATGCTATTGCAGACTTGGTGTACAGAGGGCGCTAAGTTTCTGCGCAGCCGTGGTAAGTCACATAAGTGGCTGTCACCTCGGACCTAATGTCAGGTTTCAGGTTGGGTGTCGTAGTGTAACTGGACTAGTAACGACTTCGTCACTGTGCGCCGCACAGCAAACGACTCCGACACAGCCCCCTAGCGAATATGCGGCCGCAAGCAGATGACTCCGACACAGCCTCCTAGCGAATCTGCGGCCGCACAGCAGGCGACCCCGCCCCCGCCCCCTAGCAAATCTGCGGCCGCACAGCAGACGACTCCGACACGGCCCCCAAGCAAGTTGGCAGTTGGTCACTGTCGTGCTTTCGTATGAAGTTGTCGTCGACGTCGACCTGTACCGAAATGCATCTGGTCTGCGTCCGTCGACTACCATCTCAAGGTGAAAAGCCCCAGCTCTTATTTAATGTGGTACACATATAACATCTGTACTGGCCTCTTAGATATGGACAGTGCTGCAGCAATACAATCTGCCGGCTGCGCGGGATCACTGCCGATTTGGGTGTACCATGACGTTTAGGACGATGAATTTCAGTCCTACTCGTGGTTTAGTCCTTGCCCAATCTCATAAGCAGCTAAACAGTGGAGGTGGAGGGATACCGTGGTTAAGGGCGCATAACCATGCACGGGGAGGCAGCTTTACATGGCGCCAGACCGGGCCTACCATCCCGCCCACTCACCGGACACCCGCTTCAGCTTAGCCATGTGGCTCACATGTGTGTGCTGAAGTCGGGTGCATCAGAGTTCATACGTGTCCTACTCTTAACATCATCAGACTCGTGGGCTGACAGTGGGCTCCTCATATAAATATTGCTATCGGGAGGTGGCATGCGCAGATGCGCATCAGGGGCGGCGCCGTCAGTCATCACGCACAGAGGCAGCCGGCGACGCTGACCAGCGGCGGGCAGCTGCGCAGATGCGCACCAGGGGCGGCGCCGTCAGTCATCACGCACAGAGGCAGCCGGCGATGCTGACCAGCGGCGGGCAGCTGCGCAGATGCGCACCAGGGGCGGCGCCGTCAGTCATCACGCACAGAGGCAGCCGGCGACGCTGACCAGCGGCGGGCAGCTGCGCAGATGCGCACCAGGGGCGGCGCCGTCAGTCATCACGCACAGAGGCAGCCGGCGACGCTGACCAGCGGCGGGCTGCCTCTACGGGCTGCGCAGATGCGCACCAGGGACGGCGCCGTCAGTCATCACGCACAGAGGCAGCCGGCGACGCTGACCAGCGGCGGGCTGCCTCTACGGGCTGCGCAGATGCGCACCAGGGACGGCGCCGTCAGTCATCACGCACAGAGGCAGCCGGCGACGCTGACCAGCGGCGGGCAGCTGCGCAGATGCGTGCGCACCGACTTCCCCCCCCCTCCCCCCCCTCTCCACAGTAGCAAAGCAGGCCACATGGAATTGGACGACATCGCAGGCCGGCCCAAAACGGCCGTAGATAACAAATTCGTGGATACCCAGCAGGGGCTAGAAACGTTTTGCCGGTTGGTGGGGAAGAATCCAGCTGGACAATGCTGCAAGCGAAACGGTCGTGATGGCGATACGAATAATTGAAATTATTTACGTTATATCATTGTTTTCAATTTATCGTGTTTCGCGTATACGGGAAGGCCGTAGAAGCTATGAAGAAACTTCGTCAGAGTCATTCTAATAAAAGTTTGTCATGCAATAATGCAACACTATGGGGTGACCACCCTAGTCCAATTTGGCATGTCAAATGGCTCTCGTGCGCGGGCTGAATACGGAATTTTGGTGAAGCTCTTCTTATGACCAGAACTACTGAGGAGCTTTATTTTTTAACAACAGATTTTGTCCCGAAGCACTAATGACGCGTATCACTATTACTGGCGGACGTAACGGGGTTTCCGCATAAGAAAAGACGACAAAAGTTTTTGTGCTAGAAGCTATAACGGATACGAATTTATGAAGTATTCATTTTGCCGTGTAACACTTATGTACATACAAGTATTGGCAGAAGAAATAACAACGCGTATCAGCAAAGGCTTTCTCAGCCTCTGACAAAGACAAAGCAAATACAGAAGTATTTGCGGCAAAAATTGTGCTGTGTGCAATTTTGTGAAGCATGAGTTTTTTGTTCGGCATTTACGTTGCACATAAGTTTTAGGGGAATTCACGCCGCTAATAAGTAAGGAGGGTACAAGCTTTGCAGTAGAAGTAATGTCGCGTAGAGCTGCAGCTGCAGCAGCTCTGTCGCACGCACAATTTGCAGTATCACTAATGTCGTAACACCAGGACGAAGGGTTTGACCGAGCAAGCTGAGACTGAATCCCACAGAGGAAGCTGGAGCAGATGGGAACGAGAAACAAGGAGCCTCCCTCACCTCCCCGCTTATGTTGTCGCGAGCACCCCTCTGTTGGCCCCACCTGCTTAGTAACGATGGTAATCGGCTCGCTCTGATACACTACGTTCATATACTGGCCGGTGTGCGACTGCCCCGGGCCAAAAGGACTCTGAGTGCGTGCCTCAGCACGTCCTGTGACGGTGCTGCGCCGGGAGCTTGGGCCGAGGCGGTGGGACCTGCCGCCTGATTGGCTCCGGCTCGGAGACAGCCGCCGGGCTGATGCTTCACTGAGTTGTCCTGCACTAGACTTTATTGTCGAGTGCCTACTTTGCCTTATCTGTTTAGTCAAAAGCTGGCGACGGCCGCAGCTGGCTTGTGGTCCCGCGACGAAGCCAGCACCGTCACCTAGCATTAGCGTCGGCGCCGACTAGTTCAATCGGGAAGGGCGCCTTGTACCTTGCCACGTGTTGCCATGACGCTAGTCCCTAGCTGCTGAGTTACCTTTGCAGGGTTTAACGAAGCGCGGCGCCAACTCTTTTACGCCCATTTTTAGGTCGGTGATGATTATTCCCCTTCTGTGGGCGCCTGCTGTGCTGAAAGGTGCCGACCGGTAAGCGGCGAGAGTAGAAGTAGAATACGACCGTATAGAAACAGGAGGTGGTGGGGTAGTGCTAAGGAAGATGTACGCGTCTGGTTGACCATCGTTCGCGTAGGGCTACGCGGGGTGCGTGACTGGGTCGGTGCGGCGTCGCCGTTACGTGTATGTCTTTTGTATTTGCCGACTGCTCAATTAAATAACAATATTTCATCACTTACAGTTAGATAGTGCCATTCATTTAGGGTAGATGCAATAGCCCCTTCGTCGGTGATATCCTTTGTCACACCGTTGCGTAGCTTAAAACCCCCTCCCAAGCTGGGTGTCGCTATAGAGGGCCAGTGCGCTATCGGGTTGAACCGTGTCAGCGCGAGCTAGTGTCATTTAACGATGCTGGGTTCGCCACGGGGTCATTAGCGCCGTCCCGAATTATCTGATCAAAGCATTGCTACACGCTCCCGTGGCACCAATCCGCTGCTGTATTATTTTACGGAAGTTTGACGCATGGCGGTCTCAACTCGTCTCCCGCCTTTTCGAGTTGGTGCAGATTGCCCCCGCCTGTGGGCGCCTGTCGTGCTGAAAGCCTGAAGCAAGCTAAAAAGACAAACCTCCTCTGAATGTTTTCTGCTTTCACGCGACCGTGGAAGCCGAAGCGATGCAGCATATGCTCTGCTGTGATGATGCCGCTGACAGTATCTCTGGATAGAGTTGAGACATGTGATGGGTCTGAAAAAAAACAGAAAACCAGAAGCTGCTAAAAGACAAAAGAGCGAGGCACAAAAAAAGTTTACTATCCTATCGGCAAAGCTTACGACCATAATCAGCGTGTAACGTCAATCGAAACTGTCGCCATTCGACTCGCAGCATACAATCTCATCGGTCGCTGTTAGCAGAACATCGTCGAAAAGCAGACAAAGGGGCTTGACGACGACCACCTGGACCGGGGCCTTCTGGAGAAGGAAAACACCCTGAGCTCTGACGGTAGATCGTCAGCACTAGTGCTGCTTGGCAGGCGTGCCGGTGTATCATCGTGCGCGCGCGCCGCAGCGGCAGCGGCCTCCGGACGCGTGTGATGCTCGGGCCGAGTCAGTGCATGACAAGGCACGGCA